TACCAGAGTTAATTTTGAAATAAGTTGTATTGTTAGTTGTTTGTGAAATTCTGATATATATTAAAATAATATTTAACATAAATTAATTAAAATTGACTTGATGTAAATGTATGTGAGAGTGAATGTGAAGTTATAGTCAAAATGAGTTAGTTGTTAGTAAATTAGGAACTGATTCTCAAAGCTCCAATTGGTGCTGCTAGCTACTTTCTTAGAGTATGCTTGGATACAAAATTATCTCAAAAAAATCCAAACATTTTTAACTCAATCACTTTTTTAACGCAACTTTAACTCAACCCCACTATCATCAATATTTTACTATAATTAAATATTATCAACCAATCATTTATACACATCACATCAACCTTAATTCACTATTCACCCACTCACATAATTTAACTAACCATCACTTCAAATCATCTTTCTCATACTTTTATATCAAACCAACTTTAATTATTATATTTTAAATATTATTTTAATATACCCACTAACAACTAACCATACAACCTTTTTTAAAATTAACCAAACCAAACTAAAAAATCCAAACAAATCCAAAAATTTTTATATCCAAGCATCCCCTTAAGGTCTTCCATGTTTCGGAAGATGAACTAATAAGTAATTTGGTCTGATCTCATTTACCTCCATTGATTGGTTTCACTTCCAAATTTGACACATCGTCCTTTTAACTCCAATCCAGCTAGAGCTGTCTGATCGTCTATTATTTTTCCAAATAGGCTTCGGCGACATTCTTCTGCACTAAATCGAATGTCCTCATGAGCAATATCAATAACTGCAAATTCTCTGTCGGATAGAGAGAAATATTTCAAACGGTTAGATAGTTCATCATCTTGGTTGGCGCTAGAACGACCATCCATGGTTAAAAAACCCTAGAAATCTGAAACTGGTCTTAAAATCAAGGACGGTGGAATTGAGTATCGACTAAAACACAATGAGGGAGAGCATAAAAAGAAGATGAAAAGAGGGGTTGAGAAGAAAATGGAGCACAAATCCGGCGATGCTCTCAGACGAGAGAATATGGGAACCTTAGGGGTTGCTCTCAGACGAGAGAATACTAATGGCCATTAATATTTCATGAAGAATGATTAGTTGATATTATTTAATTTATATTAATAATATTGAGTATAGTGGAGTTGAATTAAAGTTATGTTATATTTTGAGTATGATTTGAATATAGATTAGATTTTTTTATATACAAACACAATGTCACGCAGAATTAAGGAAATTTAAGTATTGAAAAATGAACTTTGTTTGTATGTCGTTAAATCACAACTTTCCAAAGTTGGTCCTATCTTCATCAAATTTGTATGTTAATAAGTACGCAACATATACAGAAAAGCAACCCAGCTCCATAAATTGAAAGAAATGTTGTTTTTCTCCCTTTTCTCTCGCCCCTATTTCTCTCTCGCTCGCCGTCTTGAGATTGCCGGTTTGTGCCTCTTTCAGCAGTCGTCCGGACTTGCCGGAGGATGGCTCTCCTGCGACACATCCTTAATCCGGTCAGCGGCGCTCCCGTTCTGCGATTCCAGCCAAAGGGGTGTGCTAGGGTTTCGACAGGTTTCTTTTCTATGGGAGGCCACTGGCGTCCTGCGGTCTGGGGTTCGGGGGGTGCGTCGTCAACCTTTGGATGCGGCTTGGTTGCTCGTTTCAACTGAGGTAAGGTTGATTTCTTCTTGAATAGACTTGAAGTCCGTCTCGTTTCGATTTTCTTGTATCGCCGAAGCTCTCATTCTGGTACTGTGGGGTGGTTGTGGCGGGGTTCGATTTTGTGCGCTGGGTTGGGAGATTATCGATTGTTGGGTTTGTTGGGACATATGAGGATCTCGATATGCACAAATCACGGACAAACATTCAACATAAACCTATGCGCAGCGGATCTAAAGGTTTGATGAAGAAAACTTACTGCTTAAAATTTATGTAGATCTGGCTGGCCCGAACAGTTGACCGCAAATCAAATCTTCTCGGAATCGAACAAACTTGACCAATCCAGAAAGCTGGCGTCACGGCGAAGTCACTGGCGTTGACCGATCGGAAAATGGAGGATCCACGCGCTCTCACGCGCGCGAGTAAGTCCCAGCTACTGCAACCTTCCGGTGGCGCGTGCGGGCGCGTGCGGCGGCGGCTGGC